ACCCCCTAGTGCCTCTGAGCGAAGCAGATTGGGGACTCCCCGGCATGCCCCAGGGGTCCACCTAGCAGCTCTCTGCCAGCCCTCCTTCAGCAGGACCTGGGGAAGGAGAAAAGGCAAAAGGTCGTCTTGGCCTGGTGAACAGTCTGCGCCTAGGTCCCTCCCGGGTGGGCAGGGCTTCCCTGTGGCTGGTTATGTGTGGGTGTGTATGTGTGAGACTGAATGAAGGCGCGCGGCAGCCTGCTCCCGCCACCGCCTCTAGAGCTATCAGCTACCAGGGCTAGCAGTGAACAGTGGTCCCACTATTTCTTCCAGACCCAGGGTCAAGCAGGAAGGATTCAGGACTGGGGATGAGGGGGGCTGGGATCCAAAAGCAGATGTCCTTGCAGGACAGACACATGGACACAGGACAGACACCAAATGAGGCTAGCTGGTGACCCCTGACTTGACCGTCCTAATCCAATAGAGAGGACTTTGTCCAGGGAGTCCAGATTGCTTGCCACCGTACTCTGAGATTTGGGAGAAACTTACTACTTCCTCATTTAGAGCCTCAGTTTCCATGTTTGTTAAGCAAGATGAAAATAATTACTGCCCTGCCTGCCCTTAGAAGCTATCATAGATATGACATGAGGTGGTGAAATGAGACGACTAAGAAAAGCTGTTTAGTGTTGTGGAATCGAGTTCAACATGGCATCATCTTTGCTTTGGGTTTCTAAAGTTTTAAAATCTTTGTGAAAGAGGACTGCCCATCTTTCTTCAGTGGAGCAGCTGGTAGACTTGAACCACTGTTTTGGTTAGTACTGCTAGAACACCAGAGCTCTCAAATAATGGCACCAACAGTTATTCGTACAAGAGTATGACACTGAGCTCTGCCTCCAGGTGTCTCTTCCCCTCTTTGGGGCCTCTTGCCCACTGACTCTACTTTGGGAGCTAGGACATTCCACTCTCATTCCTTTGGGGCAGCTGCAGGCATGCCTTCCAGCGAAACTGATCCCCCAGCAGGTGGTGGGACCCTCCCTAGGGGCTGGAGCTCTCTCAGGAGGGACTAACCACAGCAAAGGCCAGACTGGGAGCTTCCTGTCCACATTAGGGCTGAGGTGTCCACCCTAGCGAAGTGGAGTCAGGAAAGGCTTTCTAAAAAGACTGACATACCCTTTAAACCTGTGTTCCTGCACTTTATCTCTGGGGACCTGAACGGAAGTCTTAGACACATTAGTTTTCCTCCTGGACCTTAGTTTTCTCTTCTGAAGAATGGAGATAACAGTCCTTATCTATTGCATGTGCTATGAGGACGTGGTAGTACCCAGGCCAGGTCTGACCCAGAGAGACAACCATCATTGGGTCCAGACATACTGATCCTTGTCTTCATCAAGCTAATCCCATCCCAGTATCCTGTTTCCTCCTTGTAGTTGATCCCAAAGAGATGGGACCAACCTCATGTACCAGGACTTTCCAGGCTGCCAGCTAGTCTTGAGGTTAGTTGAGGAGAGCAGAAATAAGGAACCCTGTTGGGCCTAGCTGAGACCCAAGGAGGATGTGGCTTGTGCTGCCTGACCCAAACCTAGCGAACTGTGTGGCGAGGATTTAAGCTATGTGCAGAGCTCTGGACCACAGGGCGGGCACCCAGGTCTGGGCAGGCAAGCAGAAGCACCTTTTTTCTAAACCCCATAGCCTAAGACTTGGAAGACAAGTTATAGAACTAAAGTAAGTGTTAGTTGTTGATGTTATAATTACGTGGACCATGCTAGATTATCCAGCATGCATTCTGTTGATGCGGCAGAAGTACTTTTTGCCTTTTATTCTGAGGGTCCCATTGAGGTTTCAAGGCCTTTACCCTCTCACCCTCCCTTCTCCCTCTTAGAAGCCCTCTCCAGCCCACCCTGGACAGCTGCCCCAGCCTGACCATACCAATCCCATGGCTTCCCAGCAACAGTGAGGAATGTGTGTGTTGGGGGAGGGGGTAGTAGTAGGATGGACCCGTTTAGGAGGAGGGACTAGTTTCCAGAATGAGACCTGGGCAGGCTGGAATCTTTGGAAAGCCAGGAGCCAGGACCCTCCTGGGGGAGCTGATCATGCAGCAGAGAAGTTACATAGGAGGGCCAGAGGGTAATAAGGACCTCAAGGAAGGAAAGGGGCCGGCTACACTCCCTTCATCTCTCTCTCTCTCTCTCTTTCTCTCTCTCACACACACACACACACTCTCTCTCACACACACCCCTGCATCTTGCTTGAGAGCTAGGAATGATGCTTGAGTCTTTGTCTGAGCTATTTCTGTGTTTCATCTGTGTGTGTGTCCCAGGGTACTTGGTGCTGTGGGACTGCACCGTGTCCTCTCCCACACACACTGTGCTGTGTGGTACAGATGTGGACTGTGTGTATGTACTCAGTGGCCTGTGACTACCTCCTGTCTAAGGACTGTCCCCCTGAACTTGGGTTTCACCCATCTCAGGAAGTGAGGTGCTGCCCAGGGGAAGGTGAGGTGGTGTGTGTGGAGTGAGGAGGGAATATTTGGCCCCAGGTCAAGTATTGTCACCCCCATGTTCCTTGATTGTCTCTGTGACTGTCAGAGGCAGGTAGGGCCACCAGTGACTTTCCCATTTTACTGATGAGGAAACTGAGCTTTGGGGAGGAGTGGCACGTCAGGTTTCTCCTCTCTAGGTTTCCTCCCGGAAATGACAGGAGTTCAAGGTGTTTTGTCTGTAACTGAGGAGATTACCAGGGGTGGAGGTGAGTAGGGGGGGACAATGGGTATTAGGGTGGGAGGCAATATGCTTGAATTCTAACTCTTTTGCTTATGAGTGACATCCTGGGGCCTTCAAGGAGTCATTCAGGAGCCACATGCTGGGATCACTTTCATCCTGACCGCCTGTGACCTTGGACAAGTTACTACATCTTTCTGAGTCAGTATTCATACCTAAAAATAGAAATAGTAACTATGTCACAGGACTCAGACCTCTGCTCAGGACCATGTTGCCATAGGAACTCAGCACCTGTAATTCCTTACCTGTCTGAGAATCCTCCTTTCCTCCCCACCTCCACCTCAAGTGACTGTGACATCCTTAGAGAAGTTGGCACCTCCGAGATGCACACTCAGATCCAACCCTACCCAGGTCTGGCGGTTGAGAAGGACTGGTTGGAGCGAGGTGGAGGACTTCAGGGTGTTGAGGGTGGGTGGCGGGGCAAAGCCCTTCCTCCTACTCCTTTGTCCCTTACAAACACAAAACCTGGAAATGATTGAGGAAGATGGAGCCTCCTAAAGACCATTGTTTGGGGCGGGAGTGAGTGTCCCGGAAGCGCATTGGATGGGTGGTGGGGACTCACAGCTGTAGCTGGCCCGTAAACTGGGAGTTTGTTTGGGAATGTGTGTGGGTGTGAGCAGGGAGGGTGACATCCGGCCTCCATCCAGCAGAATCTTTCTGAGTACCTACTAGGTGCTGACTGGGGCCTGAGGGATTCCTCAGGAACCGTAACAGCCCTTGCCTTCTAGAGTATGGGTGCCAGCTGAGGCAGGAGTGGCCTATGGGCTTGGTCACTCAGCCACCCAGAGCATTTCAGTCTGACTGGTGCAGCTCAGCTCCAGCCAGGGTCCCGTGTAGACTTGGATGCTGGCTGGAACACTTTGTTATCCTGTCCTCTGGCATCTCTAGGGTATGGTATTTAGAGTATGACTCATAGGGGAACAATGGGAGTCCGTTGCATAGTCTGTAAGTTGCAAGTTATGCTGCTAACCCAATGAGTGAGCGTCTCCAGTGGTTCGAACCCACGAGTGGCTCCAAGGAAAAAGATGAGCAATCTCCTTCTGTTGCAGTTGACAGATATGTTGCTGTTTGTTGGGGAGGCCAGTAGGCATTTTCTGTTAACCACCCAAATTTCTGTCACCACTTGTGAAAGGTCATTCAGCAGTGTAAAACTAATTGCCAGGCTGTTTTCTTTAGATACTCCTCTGGTGATACAGATTATTTCCATTTTACAAATGAGGAAACCAAGGCTCAGAGAGGTAGTGGCTTGGTGAGGCCATTCCCTGATTGGCGCCAGGCTGGATCAAAGTTTGGGACTCCACCCTGCCTGATGATGGGCTTTGGAGCTTCAGCATCTGCAAGGACTGGAAGGGGCTCTGAGGCCCCTTCCCGCTGCCTTCCCATCTCCTCCCAGCTCTGAACACCTGTTTCGGAAGCTGTGTCCATTGTTTCCTCCATCCTTCCTCCCCTCAGGCCCTTCCTGTTTGTATCCCACCCACTGTGACCCCCAGATCCCACCCATTCCAGATGTTTCCCTTGGGGAACTCTGACCTTTGGCAGGCAAAGGGACTGAACTGGGTTTTCCCCTTCCCCAGAGAGGAAGAAAGAATGGATGGTCTGAGCAGTGGGCCTGAGTTCCCTGTGCCTTTCCTCCTGAAATTGGTAGGGAGTCCTGGAGGAGAATAAGGTCAGAGTTCACATAGAGCCCTTTGATGTTCAGCCTTGGGGAGGCGGGTAGGTCATGCAGATAGCCTGCTGCTTAGAATAACATTCTTTTCTTCTTTAATCTCATTGTCCCCACTGGAGGCAGCATCCATGTCCTTTTCATCAAATCTGCCCAGTTCCAGAGCATTGGGATCTTGGGGGTCTGTCTGTACCCTTTTCACTTAGTAGTCTGAGAATCCTGTTTTGAGATTATCTCTGGAACCCATAGGGAGCTCTGGTTGCCTAGTGGTAAGAAGCTTTGCTGCATTTTTAATCCACCAGATGCTCTGTGGGAGAAGGATGGACAAGTGATTTATTGCCTCTGATAGGGTCTGCTATGGGTCGGTTCAGACTCAAGGGCAATCGGCAACTGAGACCCACATCTGCCCGCCTCTAGGCATTGGCCTGGATCAGATGGGTAGGTCCAGTATCTGAGAGCAAACACCTGGATTAAAACACCTGGTTTCAGGGACCCTGGGGAGGTGGGCTGCAAATGTTGGCACACTTCTAATGGAGCTTCTTGATCTGCAGAAGCTGCTGTCTCTTCCTTGTTGAAACTTAATGGCCACAGCCCCAGGCCCTGCTGGCATTGCCATGGGCAGCGTGGGCAGCCTGCTGGAGCGGCAGGACTTCTCTCCTGAAGAGATCCGGGCAGCACTTGCTGGGTCCCGGGGCTCCCGCCAACCTGATGGGCTCCTGCGGAAGGGCTTGGGGCAGCGTGAGCTCCTCAGCTACCTGCACCTTCCCAAGAAGGACAGTAAGACTGCCAAGCGGGCCCCTCGGAATGAACCCACTGACTACGCCACCCTCTACTACCGTGAGCATCCTTGGGCTGGAGACTTCAGCAAGACCTCATTGCCGGAGCGAGGCCGTTTCGACAAGGTGCACCTCTGTCCATGCCCTTCATCTTGTGGGGAGGGGTTTGAGAATGGAGTCTGGGAGCTTGGGGTGGAATCGGGGCACTGGGGAGTGGGAGCCTGAAGGCTTGCTTTCAGACCCTGAAGCTGAGACAAGGTAGGACATGAAGTATTACTTTGGGCTGTCCTCAGCTTGGCCACTGCCTGCTGGTGATACAGGCACACAGTCCCCAGGGCCTGTGGGAGCATGCAGGTATGCAGACAGAGCAGCCAGCCTAAGTCACACTCTTCTCTTCCACAGTGTCGCATTCGCCCGTCCGTGTTCAAGCCCACGACAGGCACGGGGAAAGGCTTCCTATCCATGCAGAGCCTGGCTACCCACAAGGGCCAGAAGCTGTGGCGTAGCAACGGCAGCCTGCACACATTGGCCTGTCATCCGCCTCTGAGCCCAGGGCCCCGGGCCAGCCAGGCACAGGCCCGGGCCCAGCTGCTTCATGCCCTCAGCCTGGATGAGGGGGGCCCTGAACCTGAGCCCAGCCTCTCGGACTCCTCCAGTGGAGGCAGCTTTAGTCGTAGCCCTGGCACTGGCCCCAGCCCCTTCAGCTCTTCTGTGGGCCACATCAACCACCTTGGGGGCTCCTTGGACCGGGCTTCAAGGAGCCCTAAGGAGGCAGGGCCGCTGGCTGTGCTGAACTGCCTGCCTGAGCCACCTCCCCCCTACGAATTCTCCTGTCCCACTGCTGAAGAGGTCGTGGCTGCGGTGCTGCCTGAGAGCTGTGAGGAACTCAAGAGGGGCCTTGGCGATGAGGATGGCTCCAATCCCTTCACGCAGGTGAGGGAAACTCCTTCCCTGGGATCTTCCTTTTTCCTCTGGCATCAGGATAGAGTGGACATAGTGTCCCCAGCCAGCTCACTCACAAAGCTGTGAGCACAGGAAATTATAACAGAGGAAGATGACTCAGCAGCTGTCCCCTATCCATGAGTTGTTGGTAGCCCTTGCCTGGAAATCAGGTGGAACAGAGGTTCCTGGAAGGACCTGGTATTGTGGACACTTCACCGGTAGAGGACATCTCAGATCAGGCAGCTGTATGGGTGCAGAGCTTGTGGTGTTAAGTACAGGATGTGAACTTTATGAATGCAGGGTTCCCAGAATTTTGGGTCGTGGGTGGGTGTCTACTCTGGCTGCACTGGCCCTAGCTGGCTCCTGTTCCTTTGGGCAGGTGCTGGAAGAGCGACATCGGCTGTGGCTGTCAGAGCTGAAGCGTCTCTATGTGGAGCGGCTGCATGAGGTTGCCCAGAAGGCGGAGCGGAGCGAGCGCAACCTCCAGCTTCAGCTTTTTATGGCCCAGCAAGAACAGCGTCGCCTGCGAAAGGAGCTTCGGGCCCAGCAGGGCTTGGGCCCTGAGCCTCGGCCCCCAGGTGCTCTCCCAGATGGTGACCCCAGCACTCGACCAGAGGAGGAAGCCCGATGGGAGGTGAGACAGGGCAGAGTGCTTGGAGCCCACCCACCCCTTTTTCTTTGGCCTTCTCCACTACCTGTCCCTTCACTTCGCTCATCCTGTGACCCCCTGTAGGTGTGCCAAAAGACAGCAGAGATCAGCCTTCTGAAGCAGCAGCTGCGGGAGGCCCAGGCAGAGCTGGCCCAGAAGCTGGCCGAGATATTCAGTCTGAAGACGCAGCTTCGGGGCAGCCGAGTGCAGGCACAGGCCCAGGACGCGGAGTTGGCCCGGCTGCGTGAGGCTGTCCGCAGCCTGCAGGAGCAGGCCCCTCGGGAGGAAGCCCCAGGCAGCTGTGAGACTGATGACTGCAAGAGCCGAGGGCTGCTGGGGGAGGCCGGAGGCACCGAGGCCAGGGATGGTGCCGAGCAGCTGTGGGCTGAGCTGCTGCAGGAGCGGCTGCGGGGCCAGGAGCAGGCCCTGCGCTTCGAGCAGGAGCGACGGACATGGCAGGAGGAGAAGGAGCGGGTGCTGCGATACCAACGGGAGATCCAGGGGGGTTACATGGACATGTACCGCCGCAATCAGGCCCTAGAGCAGGAGCTGCGGGCACTGCGAGAGGCCCCCACACCCTGGAGCCCTCGACTCGAGTCCTCCAAGATCTGAGGCCAGCAGAGTAAGCTGACAGAAGAACTGTCAGAAGACAGTCTGGACAAGTCTACCCCAAGCAGACATCCCTTCCCTTCCCTAGGTCTGGGGCAGAATCTTTGAGGCCAGCTCCAGGGTTGAGGAGACCCACCTAGAGGAGGGATTCAGGGAGGCTGTGGGCTGGATAGGTGCCAGGAGAGGGAGCACCCTTGGAGAGGAGCACCCAGGCAGTACTCAGATCTGCCCCTGGAATAGAGTAGTACAAGGAAGGAGACTGGGGAGCCAAGAGCCCTGTGATGCAGAAGGGTCAGCCTGAGGGAGGGAGGCTGGAGACCAGGGCTGAGACCTCTCTGGAAGGAGGATGGGATGGTAACATTGGCCTCCCTCAGAATAAAACCAGGGTTTTTTATGAAGAAGTCTTAGCTAATAAGGTCAGGCCTGGCGCTGAGTCAAGTCCAGAAGGGTCTTGGATGGTTGGAGTCATTGACCTGGGCTACAGCTTCTCCCAGGGTAGGAGGACCGGCCAGTGGGTGAGGGTACACACCTGGGTCTGCATGTGAAGCTGAGGGGGCGCGGAGGACTCTCTTCTTACCCCAGCACTGCACAGTTCCTTAGCAGCTGTGTGGGCTGGGATTTCTTCAGTACCAGCGATTGTTGTTTTTTTTAAAAAGAAACAATTCCAGGCAACCCCGGGAAAACAGGGCAAGGCGACCAGGGCATTTCTAAAACATGAGCCATTTTCTTGGTGGGAAGTCTAGGCCCCAGGTGCCCAGGCCCCTGCTGGCTTTGCAGCTGACCTAAGCTTCTGCTTGAGCATCCAAATCCAAAGGCTTTGAGGCGATGAGGAGGCTGCCCCTCTTGGAACCCACATCCCTCTTTTTGTGTGATTGTAGTTCACCTTACCTCAGTAACACTAGAGGGGGGTTGGGGGCTGACTAGAAAGGAGCAGAACAATTTGTGGGTCACTTGGTAAAGGACTTTCACCACAGCAAGACGTGTGAACATTCCCTAGAAGGCAGTGGAGACCACAGGATATTTATAAGCACCAGTGAGACAGAATCAGATTTCTATTTGGGAAAGTCCTTCCTGTAGAGGAAATGGGCTTCTTAACTCCCCTGCCCTTACTCAGCTTCTTGGATGTGTATTGTTGGGTGGGTGGCTGCTCCTGCAATGAGTGTTTACCATCAGTCAGGTGCTCTGTTAGACCTGAGTGAGCTTGGAGAAGGGAGGGGAGGGGGTGGTGGGCGTCAGGGCTGAAGTCATTGTGCTTCCTGCCCTGGGAGCTCCCACTCTCCTCCCAACCCCCTTTCCCTTTCCCAGGTTGGGTAGTGGCAGCCTCTGAATTATCTAAAGAAACTCCCCTAGTTGGCTCCCTTTAACTGTGTTCCTGCCCACCGGGCCAAAGCCTGGCAGCACCCTCCAGTCAGCCAGCAGATGGGTTCTGGTGGTGGAGCAGAATCAGAGTGTGAGGGTATGAATGGGTGGATGTGGTGCTTTTGCGCTCTGGAGCCTAAACTGGTGTGTCTGCCTTTGGAGGGTGGAGGGCAGAGAGTGGGGTGTGTGAGTTATCTGTCATGAGGACTGTGTTTATAGCTCTGAGTGGCAGGTGTGTGTAGAGGTGTGTGTATGTAGGTGGTAGGAGTGTCCAGGGGGGTGTGTTTGGGACACCTGGCCTTTCTAGGTTGGAGACAGGGAGGACTGCTTCCAGGCTCTTCCTTCTACCCTATTCCTTCTATCAGCCCCAGTCCATTTCAGCTCTGGCCAGGCCTGGATGGAGATTGCCAGACTTACATCTGAGTCTTCTGCCTAGGAAATGAGAAGTACCTGGATTAGCCAGGTCTGTCAACCAACCTTAGTGTTCATTACATATAACTCTCCCAATAGGTATTGGACGGATGGGGCGTGCAGAGCACCCACCCGAGCGGAGCACTGGCCTGAAGCTGAGGCCACTCCCTTCCCATGGTCAGCTGGTACCCATGTGCCCCATAGCAGCCCTGGCCACCTCTTGGTGTACCAGCCTGCAGAACAGCTCCCCACCCAGCAATTAGGGAGCAAGGCCAGCCAGTACAGCCCGAGGGGAGTGGGTGGGCGGTACCAAAACTTGGCAGCTGTGTCAGAAACCACAGCCAGGACCAGATGTGGGGGGAGGGCTCCAAAGAACCGGAACTGGGGCATCTCAAAGGGAATCAGATCCCTGGGTTAGCTCATCTATGCTGGCAAAACCAGTTCTTGGGTCCCCAAGCCTGCTGGGTGGCTCTGGGGCCAGCTGATCACAAGTGCCAGTGGAGTGGCTACAGCTTCAGGGCAGTCACTCCCTCCTGCACCTCATGGGTCCTGCAGCTCCCAACTGCCCCTACTCTTCAACCCAACAGAGCCCAGGAGCCTGGCAGCCAGTTCTGAACAGGCCCATGGTGAGCTCCCCAAGGGGGCTTATGCCTCCTATACAAGGCTTTAGCTTATCATTGAGGCCCCCAGTAATCAGACCTCCAGGATCACCAAGAATGGCAGCGCCTTTCAGTCCTAGGCGCCTCTCAGTCTTTTGAGCCTTATCCTGACATGGCTTCACAGCACTTGACTTATGCTTCCACAGGGAGCCCTCTGTGACCTCTGCCCCCTCCACTGCCTGGGTACCCCCTTCTTGTGCCCGTAGCCCAGTATGTTTCTACTTCAGCTACCCCTGCTGCCATACCTTGCAGACCAGTCTCCACAGACCCTGGGCACTATGAGTGTAAGATGATGCCTAGTTCTTATCCCTGTTCAGACCTCCCTCCTCCAGCCCCAGAGACCCTAGGACTGTAGTGTGGAGTCAAGAGTGAACAGGTGCCTCGCGACCTAGGATGTAGTTCAGTTGCAGATGTGGTGCAGTCCTGTCTCCCTGCCTTTGCTTCAGTGACACGAGGGTAGGAGAGGGAGATAATACAGGGCTGTTAGTGAATGTTCTGGAGAATGATGGTCCAGACAGGAGAATGGAGATTCCACACCAGCTCAGAGCTACAGGGGAGGGGCACACAGACATGAGCCAGGTGCAGGGCATAGAGAATGCAGAGGGGCCCCTCCTGGGAACTTGAGGGGAAATTCTTCAGAGAAGCAGGCGTTAGGAAACCTTTCTTCAAAGAGGGTGCAGGCCCCACAGGGACAGTTTAGATAGGGTACCTCCTTACCCTGGTGGGTGGGGTCTCAGCCCCATATTTGATTCAGAAAAGAAAAAGCATGTGATGTTTTCTTGCAATAAAAACAGAAGTGATGTATGTCACCAGAGACGTGAAGCTTGAGTATTGTGGGCAGTTGGGGGAAGAGTGGGCTTCTTGTCACTTCAGGTGGTGAGTGGGGCAAGCTTCCTTGAGTGGATGCTGGAGCTGGCTTTTGGTCAGGCTGTGAGGATTTCTTCAGGGTCAGGTATGGGTTGAGGGCGTTTCAGAATGGGTTTAGACATGGACAAGGGAAATATGTAGTAGATTTGGGTGATGGGATCCCTTTAGATAGGTGGGCAGGTTGTGGGGTAGAGAAAGGAAAAAAGGAAGGACCAAAAGTCACAACTGATCTGGGTAGCCTGTAAACTGGCACAAGAGGACTTCACCCTGCAGGCTGTGTGTGGGTGGGTGCCTGAGCAGCCAAGGGGAAGGGTTTGACCTAAGACCAGCAGTCACACAGGCTCCACACTAGCTTGGGTCAATGCCCTGCTGGCAGTGTGAAGACTCTTAATAATTTTTAAAGAGAGACCATGCATCTTCATTTTTAAATACCCTAAACCAAAATCTTGCAGGAAGGATGAGAATGGAATGGGAAGAAGGGCCAGGGTTTGTGTTAGGGACCACGTACAGGAGACAGGATGGAGAATAAGAAAATAAAGAGAGAGCTATACCTGGACCTTGTCAGGGAGTCATAGAAAGCAGTTCTGCCTCCCAGGTTCTGTGAAGGAGGGTAGGCAATGGGTGATCAGGCTGCTGCTGCCCCACCCCTGCCAGCTCAGCGACTGGTCCAGCACCTTCTAGCACAGTCTTGAGCACAGACTCTGGGAAACAAGAAAGACACATATTCTGGATTTTCAGGAGTGTACTTCTTGGTTTGCCCTCTAAGTTTAGTAACCATTTTGGGGGAGTCTGTTAAAAAGTGTCTATACAGTGTATTTTTGTGTGCCATCCTTTTGATTAGCAGCCAAGCATTTAAGCAGACACTTAATGTTTATGCTTATTGTGTGGTGTCCACTCACCGCCACACAGGAATTCCTTGTATATGAGTTCCCTCCTCCCATTTTTAAGGTATAATTTGTATATATTAAAATGTACCCTTTTTAAGTGAAGATTTTAGAGTTTTGACAAATAACTCTAAAATGAAGATAATAGCATTATTCTCCAGCTTCTCTGTAGTCAACTTTTTTTTCACGTCAGATGGGTAGTGTGCCTTTGTCGTAACAAGGTTTAATAGGTGGCACATGTCATGCAGAAGTATGAACTCCCAGTTGTCATGATTATGAACCGGAATAGAATCTTCTTTACCTTCAGTTTCTGGCAACTATTTATCTGTTTTCTCACTAACCTTGTTTTGGGGTTTTTGTTTGTCTTTTTTTTTTCATTATTATTATTTTTGTGTGCGTAGGGTCAAATTGGATCTCATTGGTACAGGAGGAGATTGTTCCTCCTTCTCCAGCAGAGCATCTGGTGTATTCGAACACTTACCTCTGGGATTGCAGTGCAGCTTCTTGTGTTTGTTATTTTTGTGAGGAGTGTTTAATGAACCCCACCGCACAGAAGAACAAGACTATAAAACAGCGAAGAGAACAATATGGTATTCATTTAAAAAGAAAATTATTACTCAGCACACAGAATTAATAGCCAAATGCAGATTGCATTAGCTTTCAAATAGCATTAAATGCTAAAGGGCTTTTAAAAAGGGCAAAGAAGGACTTTAACAAGAGGTGCTGGAATAGCTGTGATTTTTTTTAGGGGAAAGTAACCCATACTTTACACCATCCCTTGAAAAAAACTTATTTGAGGAGGTTAATTTTTTAAAATCAAGTC